TCAGCAAGTGTTCTGATTGCCTCAAGTTTTTATATCTAGATGTTACTGTTGCTTTTGCCAGAAAGTCAGAAATTTTTCTGAAATGTGAGGTGACTTTGCTATGTAAATGATAAAATAATAAGTAACTTGGATTTTGATACTATTAGAAATAGTTTCTTCTCAGCTTTCATTTCAGTGCTGAGAAACATGCTACTTAGCGTTTGGACTACTTTCTCTTTAGAAAAGCGTAGCCCTGTTTTTAGATTTCCCTTTATGGTGCAGGGGTATGGTTTGTATTTATTTTTAAAGCCCACTTAACTAATTCAACAGTTCTGTGTGTTAGCAAACCAAGGTTAAATTATTGACCAAGAAATTTGGGTATCTTTCCAGCAGTGGGTGATATATTCATGTTTATGTGTGAATACTGTTTATGACTGACGAATGTATGATTATAGAAGGACATTCAGGGAACTCTTGTCTTATTTTTTTTTTTGTAGATTCCCATAAAAAACGTGCATGCTTGAGGAAAATTATTAAAATCTTAATAAGTTGTGGGGAAATGACTTGTGATTTTGAACTTGTTTGTTCTGACCTCTAAGCTGTCTTCACTTTTTGAGAAATTATGTGGGAGGAGAATCTCTCTCCTTAGAGTCTACTAAGGGCCTTATGTGAAGGAATAGTAGAGGAGGTAAGACTGTCAAATCCATTCTGAGACTCAAAGGTGTCTTAGTCTTTCATAAGAACATATAAACTATTGGCATATATTTATTTTTAGAACTAAAACCTCAGTAATTATTATTTCTCCATTAAAGGATCAAGGATAATGATCAGCAATACAGGGCAAGTGTGGACAGACATGGCTGGTATTATGATGATTATTAATGTTGCCATTGCATTTCAGTAGAGCGGAGTGATTAATAAATAAAACACAGCATTCAGAAGTTTTTTAGGGTTGCAGCTGTACAAACTGTAAGAAATGCCATCAGATATCATAGAATCATAGAATAGTTAGGGTTGGAAAGGACCTTAAGATCATCTAGTTCCAACCCCACTGCCATGGGCAGGGACACCTCACACTAAACCATGTCACCCAAGGCTCTGTCCAACCTGGCCTTGAACACCTCCAGGGATGGAGCATTCACAACTTTCTTGGGCAACCTATTCCAGTGCCTCACCACCCTCACAGTAAAGAACTTCTTTCTTATATTTAACCTAAACTTACCCTGTTTAAGTTTGAACCCATTACCCCTTGTTCTATCACTACAGTCCCTAATATTTTAATTAAGTTTCAGAATAAAGAAAGCAGTTTTTTGCTACTCAATTACACTTAGATTCATTCTGTACTTACTAAGGCAGCAACTAGCCTGAAGTGAAAGGACCAGGTGGGGTGGGCCGTCTTTGGCTGGCAGCCAGGTTCCTACCAAACTGCTCTATCTCACCTCTCTCCCTAGCAACAGGATGGGTAGAAAATATGGTGAAAAGCTCATGGGTCAAGATAAGGACAGTGACATTACTTAGCCATTACTGTCATGGGCAAAACAGACTTGACTTGGGGAAATTAGTTTAATTTATTGTCAATTAAACTGAAAAGAACAATGAGAAATAAGAATAAATCTAAAACCACCTTCTCCCATCCCTCCCTTCTTCCCAGGCTCAACTTCACTCCCAACTCTTTCACCTCCTTTTCCCTCCCTGAGGAGGATGGGGAATGGGGGTTGCAGCCAGTACATCAGATATTGTCTCTGTGGCTCCTTCCATCTCATATTCTTCCCCTGCTCTAGCATGGAGTCCCTCCCACGGGATACATACTTCATGAACTGTTCCAACATGGGTCCTTCCCACAGGCTGCAGTTCTTCAGGAATAGACTGCTCCTGCATGGATCCCCCACAGGGTCACAAGTCCTGCCAGAAATATCTGCTCCTGTGTGGGTTCCTCTCCATGGGCTGCAGCTTCCTTCAGGGCACATCCACCTCCTCTGGTGTGGAGCCTTCTACAGACCACAGTAGCTGAGCTTGGTTCTCTCACATTTCCTCACTCCTCTCTCACAGCTACTGCTGTACAGCTTTTTTTACCCTTTCTTAAATATGTCATCACAGACATGCTATCACCATCACTGACTGGCTAAGCTTTGGCCAGGGGTGGGGCTGTCTTGGAGCTGATTTGAACTAGCTCTGCAGGCCATGGGGGCAGCTTCTGGTGTCTTCTCAAGCCCAAAAAGTTTTTAACATGTACATCAAAAAAGGGAGCATGGCACAGATCAGATAAATTAATATTAAGAACAGATAAGTTAATATCATGTTCAGCAACAGTTAAACATATAATAATGATATGTTCCCTCTAATGCTCTGGTCAAATCTATCATTATCTCAAAAATTTTGAGTCCCACATTGGGTGCCAGAAACGTTAGTTGTGGTTTAATCCCATTTGGCAACTAAGCATGACACAACTGCTTACTCACTTCCCCCCTGCCCCTACTGTGATGGGGGAGGGGAGAATAGGGGTGAAAGTGCAAAAAATTGTGGGTTAAGATAAAGACAATTTAATAGGTAAAGCAAAAGCTGCCTATGCAAGAAAAGCAAAATAAGGAAATCATTCACTCCTTCCCATTGGCAGGCAGATGTTTAGCCATCTCCAGGGAAAAAAGGGCTCCATTGTGCATAATGGTTAATTAGGAAGACAAACAACATAACTCTGAACATCACCCCTTCTTAATTCCCTATGTTTTTTATTCCTGAACACAATTGCATATCAAAGAATCATAGAATGGTTTGGGTTGGAAGGGACCATAAATATCATGTAGTTTCAACCCCTTCCACTAGACCAGGTTGCTCCAAGCCCCATCCAAACTTGCCTTGAACACTGCCAGGGATGGGGCAGCCACAGCTTCTCTGGGCACCCTGTGCCAGTGCCTCACTACCCTCATAATGAAGAATTTTTTTCCTAATGTCTAATCTAAATCTATCCTCTTTCAGCTTAAAGCCATTTCTCCTGTCCTATCACTACATGCCCTTGTAAAAAGTCCCTCTCCAGCTTTCTTGTAAGCACCCTTTAGGTATTGGAAAGCTGCTATAAGGTGTCCCCAGATCCTTCTCTTCTCCAGGCTGAATAAACCCAACTCTTTCAGCCTGCCTTCATAGGAGAAGTGCTCCAGCCCTCTGATTATCTTTGTGGCCCTCCACTGGACTTGCTCTGACAGGTTTACATGCTTCTTATGTTAGGGGCCTCAGAGCTGAATGCAGTCCCCCAGGTGGGGTCTCATGAGAGCAGAGCAGAGGGGGAGAATCTCCTCCCTTGACCTGCTGGTTATGCTCCTTTTGATGCACCCCAGCATACAGTTGGCTTTCTGGCTGGGTCATGTTGAGCTTCTTGTCAACCAACACCCCCCAAGTCCTTCTCCTCAGGTCTGCTCTCAGTCCATTTTCTGCCCAGCCTGTATTTGTGCTTGGGATTGCCCAGACCCAGGTGCAGAACCTTGCAGTTGGTCTCGTTGGAGTTCTTGAGGTTTGCACAGGCCCACCTTTTGAGCCTGTCCAGGTCCCTCTGTATGGTATCCCTTCCCCTCCAGGGTGTTGATGGCACCACACAGCTTGGTGTCATCAGCAAACTTGCTGAAGGTGCATCAGTCCCACTGTCCTTGTCGACAACAATGATGTTGAACAGTGCCAGTCCCAATACCAACCCCTGAGGAATGCCCCTTATCACTGATCTCCACTTGGACCTTGAGCCATTGATCACAACTCTTAGAGTGCAACCATACAGACAAATCCTGCCACAGAGTGGTCCATTCATCAGATCCATTCCTCTCCAATTTAGACACAAGGATGTCATTCAGGACAGTGTCAAATGCCATGCACAAGTCCAGGTAGATGAGGCAACCTTCCCTTATCCACCAATGCTGTAGCCCCATTGTAGAAGGCCACCAAATTTGTTAGTGTCTTGGTTTAAGCCCAGCCGGTAACTCAGAACCACGCAGCTGCTCGCTCACTCCCCCCCTTCTTCCTCCCCCCACTCCCAGAGGGATGGGGAGAATGGAAAGAATGTAACTCCCACAGGTTGAGATAAGAACAGTACAGTAACTAAGGTATAACACAAAACCACTACTGCTACCACCAATAATAATAATTATTCCCCTCTATTCTGCTCTTGTGAGATCTCACTTGGAGTATTGTGTACAGTTCTGGTGTCCTCAACATAAAAAGGACATGGAACTGTTGGAACAGGTCCAGAGGAGGGCCATGAGGATGATCAGGGGGCTGGAGCACCTCCTGTATGAAGACAGGCTGAGAAAGTTGGGGCTGTTCAGCCTGTAGAAAAGAAGGCTGCGTGGAGACCTCATAGCAGCCTTCCAGTATCTGAAGGGGGGCCTATAGGGGTGCTGGGGAGGGACTCTTCATTAGGGACTGTAGTGATAGGACAAGGGGTAACGAGTTAAAGCTTAAACGGGAAGTTTAGATTGGATATAAGGAGGCAATTCTTTCCTGTTAGGGTGGTGAGGCACTGGAATAGGTTGCCCAAGGAAGCTGTGAATGCTCCATCCCTGGAGGTGTTCAAGGCCAGGTTGGACAAAGCCTTGGGTGAGATGGTTTAGTGTGAGGTGTCCCTGCCCATGGCAGGGTGGTTGGAACTAGATGATCTTAAGGTCCTTTCAACCCTAACTGTTCTATGATAAGGGAAATAACAAGGGGAGAGAATACAATTGCTCAGCACCTGGTGACCGATACCCAGCCTGACCCAAGCAACGATCCCAGGGACTGGGAGAATGAATAACTGTCCACTGTAGGAGAAAATCGGGTTTGAGACCATCTAAGGAACCTGAAGGTGCACAAGTCCATGGGACCTGATAAGATACATCCATGGGTCCTGAGGGAGCTGACAGACATTGCCAAGCCATTATCCATAGTATTTGAGAAGTCATGGCAGTTCAGTGAAGTTCCTGCTGACTGGAAAAGGGAAATATGACCCCCATTTTTAGAAAGGTGTCCTGGGTTCAGCTGTAGCAGTCATTTTTCTCCTTCTTAGTAGCTGGTTCATTGATGTGTTTTCAACTTTAGCCTGAGAACAATGCTGATAACACACCAATGGTTTCAGTTCTTGCTAAGTAATGTTTACTCTGACCAAGGACTCTCATGCTCTGCCAGCGAGGAGGGGAACGGGAAGCCAGGAGGAAGCAGAGACAGGACACCTGACCCAAACTAACCAAAGAGGCGTTCCATACCACAGCACGTCATGCCCAGTATAGAAACTGGGGGGAGTTACCCAGAAGGCCCAGATCTCTGCTCGGGTCAGGCTGGGTATCAGTTGGCAGGTGCTGAGCAATTGTATTGGGCATCACTTGTGGGTTATTTTTGTTTTGTTTCGGTTTTCTTAGTTTTATATTCTCTCCTCATTATTTCCCTTAGTAGTAGTATACTGTACTGTAAGTGGCGAGGAGAAGCAAGACAGGCCAACCCAATATGGGTGATAAGCAAACTTCTACTTTTTTGTGACGCAGTTCACTTATATAGGCGTGGTATTTAGTCACGCCTCCTAGGCACAACAGTATTGGTTAGATCCACACAGCTTCCTCCACATTCTCCTCCCACATCCGGTATCCAGTTACCTGTGGGGCCTGCCCCTTGCCTTGCTCGCACAGGCCTCTAATGCTCCATGGCCTTGCTCTTAGAGCCATTCTGCAACACTGTACTTTACTTATTGGACTGTTCTTATCTTAACCTGCAGCTTTTATGCTCTTTTGATTCTCCTCCCCATCCCACCCAGGGAGGGGGGAAGGGGGGGGTTGAGAGAGAGGGTGCATGGTACTTTGTTGCCAGCTGGGTCTAAATCACGACACACAGGTTTCCTGCTTGCCAGATAGTCCCTCTTGATTCCCACTAGAATCACACATGCACTCATCCCACAGGCACTACACATTTGCAAGTTCCCTTAGGCCTTACTAGCACAGACTCTTGCCTACTTCATACTCCTGCCCAGACTCGAGGCTTCTCCCTACTTATTGGCTAGTCCAGCTTGAAGTTTGCTAGCCAATACACATGCACACCCGGTTTGGGCAAGATGCAGACACCTACCTTCTCCCCCTTTACCCTAGCAGCTCTCACCAGGCACCACATGGACTGTGGGTGGTGGTCTTACTCCAGCCACCAGTGCTGGGCACCTCACTCATGCTGCCCCTTCCCAGCTATTTTTTGAGACACACACAGTTTCTGCCTCAGTGGCTGGAGGCAGAGAGCATGACTTGCTCCAGTAGCTGATGTTAAGACTTCACTCATTCCAGCAGCTGACACCACAGTGCTGGCATCCCTGGTCTGACTGGAGTAGCTGGCACCAAATCCACTCATGACAGCCCCCCCATAGTGAGCACTCCAAGCACAGTTTGTAGTACCTGCCCTAGGTCTAGAGAGGTATGGCCCCTCCAGCTACTGATGCTGGGACCCTCACTTGTTCCAGTAGCTGACACCACAGGGGCACCTACAGCCCCAGACTGAATCTAATAGCTGGCACCAAATTTCATTCACACATACACAGGTCTCACCAGTTGCTGGCACTTAGTCCTTGCAGCACACATACACATGGGATAGAGACTGAGATTATGCAGATAGATTGCTAAGATTTAATAAGAAGATATAAGAAGACGGGACAGACTGTGATGAACAGGCTCAGGGCTCAGCCAGACAAACATACTGACCAGCTCTGTTTTACATGTGACCTGACCACTTTATACCCCTTTCTGTCTACCCTCCCCTTTGTTCTTTGTTCCTCCCAGCTCTCCCTTACCCCTGCATGTCTCTTCATCACTTTGCATGGTTCATTTGATTCCCTCACCCCTCCTGGTCTGGTGCCCAGGGTCTCCCACCTAGTTTACAGTCTTATCAGTTGCAAAGTCCAGGTTGATCTCCCTGGAAGAGTAGTTAAGACCTAACATACTGTATGGAAGTATCTCCTTTCTCGCTTATTAACCTGTGATCTGTCAAATTTTAAGGCTGCCCTGCAAAACTGTTGCAAAGGACTTTTAAGGCACACTTCTCTCTGGTGGATGCAAAGTCATTGGGAGGAAAAATAAAAAATAATAAATGAAGGTTGCTATGGCAGCAAGTGTCCCTAGAATTTTTAAAATATGTGTTTAGGCTTAAGGAAAAAACAAAGCTATAATGCTGTCTCACAAAATTCTTGGTAAAAATAAGGAGTTTCTCTTCACTGCCAAATCTCTACTTGCATGTTACTTCAGAGGATAGCCTCAGTGGTGATACTTTAATGAATATTCATATCTGGTTTCATTCTCCTTATCACACTTCTCTGGTGAGATGAATAAGAAGTTGCTTGGGGATTCAAAGAACAGTAAATAAACTTGATAATGTCATACGTAGGTACATACAAGCAGGAATCCTGCATAACCAGACTGAAACACTGCAGATAGGATTTGCAAATTTTACTTTTCTTTTTTTTTTCATGGTATTATTAAAAGCATAATTACAAGGAAAAGTGTGTCTTAAAAAGATACTAAAATTAACAGCTGCATTTGAATACATTTACTGTTTTAAACCTGTGGCTGTTTAGATATAGGATTAGAATGTGACATTTAAAGTCAAGTGATCAACTCTGAATTATGTGTTTAGTGATTTATGTAAAGTTGGTTGTGTTTGGTTTTTTTTTTTCTCACTTTGTTGTTTCAGATCTGTCCAATATGTGCAGCATTACCTGGAGGGGATCCTAATCATGTCACAGATGATTTTGCAGCTCATCTTACACTGGAACACAGAGCTCCTAGAGATTTAATATCCTTTCTTAAATTGAGGGAAAAGGGATACTGTTTCTTATGATAGCTGTAACTACTTATTTTGACTTCTGTAGTCAAGTGGCTACATCAGTTTTGCTTATTTTTTAGAATTGGTGTTTAGTTATAGGGGATCTGTATGTCTGAATTTTTTATATGTATATATATTTATATCTATCAGACTGTGAATGGGCTTTAGGTGTAGCTTGGAAATGTGGGTGTGTGGTTTTATTTCTGAGAGCAAAACCTTTTAAAGATGTCTTTGATGCTGCTTCTTTCTGCACTTCATTTTTTACCCTTCTTGGTCATTAGTTCTGATACCATTTTGTGTATGAGAAAGCAGCAATCCATATGCAGTAGTGTATTATAGATAATTGCAAGACTAAAGGCAGTAAATTTCACTAAAAGCAAATGTGTTAGAGAATGCTTTGAGCTTTGAAACTGAGTGGGTTTAAGTGTTTGATTAGTTTTATCACCATATTTCAATGGGGTAGTTCCAGCCTGTTATTTATTGTGTTTTTTTGTAAGATATAACTAGAAGAGATATCAGGAGACTTCCTAGGAATTAAGGCTGTCTTTCAGTTATATGCAGATTGTAGTGATATAACTACTCTCAATGAGTGAAGAGCTCAAACTGTCAGCTTCTTTGCACTTTAAGTACAATTTTCTTTTATGTTACTTGGTGTTAGGAATAGTAATGTTGCTTGTGTTTTTGCTATACAATACCTACAACATAAATTTAGAAGGTACTCTTACTCCATGGAAGTACAAGCCATCATGAAAAGCTCTCGTTAAGTGATCTCTATAAATTATTTATCTTTCTGTATCTCATTAAAAAAATACACTACTAGTGTAATTTAATAGTGCCTTTTTTGTTCAGGGCTTCTTAAAAGAAAAAAAAAAGGCCTAACAACTCAAGTTCATTATATTTATGAATAGCAATATTATAGGAAGTGGTTTCACTTTGGTTGTGATCTGTATTTACATTTACATTTAAATTTGTTATTTAAATAGTCCCAATTACACAGTTTCCTACTAAAGTGAATGAGGTGTTGGATTAGAATTCACACTTCTGGAGCTTTTTCTCCCTCTCTCACATCAGTGATATCAGATGATAACTTAATTGGGAAATGTGTGTTTATTATTAGCTACATAAGAGCTAGAGAAATCAAAATAATCTTTTCAGTTACTGAGTAAAGGCCACAGTGTCAGTCATCACGACACTGATGGGGGGGAGCTTTATAAATTGGACCATGTTATAAATAATTATAGAAAATGCATGTGGAAGTTTTTGTACAGCACTGCTTTATCAGTCAGTGTTGCCAAGTCCATAAAACTTGACAGAGAAAATTTTTCTGGGCTAACTGTTCAATGTTGGGTGCTATTTCATGTCTTCTGACAGCCAAGACTAAAAGGAAGAAAAGGGGGGAAAGATTTCCCCCCATGCAGTTGCTAGCAGTTTAGAAAAGGATATTGTCTTCTGTGTAGTAGTTAGAAGGGTTTTAAAGCTGTTTTAAATGGCTGCACATATTTCTCTTGAAGAATCCTGTGCAACCACTGCAAGATATCACCTTTATCCCTGGAGACTCTGAACAGCTGAATAAATTCCAGTTTCTTTCTTAAACAATTTTCAACTGTTTTACTGATTAAAACATGATTTTTGTCTTGACCGTATAAATGTTTCGAGCTTGGTTGCTTTCAGTATATGTTTGCAATGAGTTAAGAGTTCCCAATGCTTTTTTACCCCCAGCATAGTTGGGTGATATACACAAAATGCATGATATACATCAATATACTCTAAACTAGTATTTAAATAATGTTGTCTTAACACTTTCAAAGGTGCAGTGAGCAAGCTACTAAGATCCTTTTCTAAATGAGATGAAGGCTGGAATTTTCCAAAGGATTTATATTAAGCATGTTCTAGTTGTCTTATTTCCTAAGTTTACTTAAAGAAAAATAAAATCCCAGAATGGGGGCATTTTTCTGTCAGATGTAGCTATGGAAAGCTTCCCAAACTGCATGAGAGCAGTAGTCAATATTAGTGCCAATGTTCTGTCACTACCATTATACAGTATCAACAGATTCAAAGCAAGAACAAACCAATCCGTGCTAGACAACTATATTCTGTCCTAGGGGAGATTCCCCTCCCCAAACCCTGCAATTGAAAAGTTTTATGCTTTATAGCATAATAAATTTGAAAGAGTCAATTCTTCCTGAAAATATTTATTATAGTAACTGTATATTCTTACTTGCCAAAAGAAGTCTAATAGTTTTCCAGTATTAAACTTTTCAACTCATGAGGAAATGAATTCTACACCATAATCGTACGTTGTAGGATAAGT